GGAGAACAAACAGCCTCCTTTTGTTCCTGGCGTCTGGTCCGGAGAAGCAGTCTCCAAATATAAATGTCACCACAGCAGTGGCAGCCGCGAAGCATGGACTTAGGCCCATTATGCCCCAGTCACTGTGCAGTTTACACAGAGTCTTTCATTTCACTCACACCCAAGCCAAAACCAAATCCATTGCCATCGAGTCCATTCCGACTCATAGCAACCCTACCGGACAGAGTAAAACTGCCCCATAGGGTTTCCAAGGCTGTGAATCTTTACACAAGCAGACTGCCACATCTCTCTCCCATGGAGCGGATGGTGGGTTCGAACCACTGACTTTTTGGTTAGCAGTCGAGCGCTTAGCCACTGCACCACCAGGGTTCCTCACTCACAACAACCCTATCAAATAAGTACTGATATTTTCAATTGACAGATGAGGAAGCTGAGGCACAGAGGCGGGACATTAACTGGCCCAAGATCACACAGGTAATATGGAGGGGGGCTGGGATTCAAATCCAGGTACCTGACCCCAGACACCACTCTTAGTCCCTGGGCTACGCTGCACTACATGACATCTACTGGAAAAATGAATCAAATGGCTTTTTAAATTTTAAATCGAACAGAAACCAAACCAATCATGTGAACATACAGCTGACAAGTGTTGTGACACGTGGCTATGCTCTTACAAACAGTACAAACTGTTGTACCCCTCGCTTATACTGGGAAGGTAGAAGTCCCATGGGAGGAACAAAGGACTTAATTTATACCTGATCTGAACAGTACCTCAGTAAGAACACATTCGGTCCATCACCCAAAGTGCTCAAAGCTGACGGCAAACACTGGGCATCAGAACAGACTGGCTGACTCCTCTGTATAAAGAGCGCCAGGTGGAGGAGGAAGAGTAAGTGAGGGTTTCCTGCAGGTGAACAGGCACATCCTCCTGGGCGAAACCAGCAGAGGGCGCACTTCCAGGCTCGTGAGCCCCACCGACAGCTCCCCAGTGACCTGCATCCCATGCCGCCAGCACGCCCAGCAGTCACCAGCCAACAGGGCAAATAAGATTTCCTCTGCCCATTATCAGGGAGACAGCTGGGAAGAAGGAAGACACAGCTCTGATCTTCAGTATTTTGCTTTCCCGTAATCCTTCAGTTTAAAATGTCTCTGATGTGGAATATCAAGCACGTGCACATTACAAGAAAAAACCACACTATTGCCAGCACACGACTGCTCTCCATGAGGAAGAGAGAGAAGGAAACGTTGTTGTTGTTAGGGGCCATCAGGTCAGTTCCGACCGGGTGGTTCAAACCACCAACCTTTTGGTTAGCAACCGAGCGCTTAACCATTGTGCCACCCTCGGCATGCTCTAATTCAGGCACTATAATGAATGGTTCTTCCCTGCTCTATACATACGACTGTTACACAGACCTACACAACCTGAATTATAGTCATTTGAATAACAAACCTTTTTTTTTACATTCACCTTCTCTTGTCTTTTAATGTAAGTGAGCTCATACGATATCTGTCCTTTTGTGGTTGAACAAAACTTCTCTAAATGGTCCAAATCAAAGCACTCTTGCTTCCATGATGTCCCACTCTGAAATACTTAAGCATCGCCTGGCTTCTCACAGGCAAACACTGAAGACTAGGTACCAGCAAAAGCAGACACTTTACACTTGCTGACTCTGTGCTCCAATTTTATGTCTACGTGATAATAAACTTGCTTGTTTACAATTAAACTAAAAACTTAAAATACAACCTGCTACGTATCCACTTTTTTTTTTTTTAAATATCCTGGCACATTAAATTCTTATATTTTAAGAAAGGAAAATAACATATACTGGATGCCTACTAAGTTCTAGGAACTATCAAAATCCTTCTGCATCTCACACAATCTTTATGGCCTTCATAACGTCGGTGGGAGGCGAATTGTTTCATCCCCATTTTACACAGGAAGAAATGTTGTGTCCAAGGGCTTGTATGGTTTGTTTCCTCCTCTGTAACTTAGAAAGATTATAAGGCAGGGTCATGCCAGGAAGACCTGCATTTCTAGAGGAATCCTGTTCAGATTCAGAATACTGTATCAAGCACCAGGCAGCAATTCTGTACAAGCACGATGCAGGCAGCTCTTCATTTTAATTCCATTTCAGAGAACGGCCAAAATAAGACACTTGCTCATTTCGTTCACCTTTCTAAGAACTGAGGTAAGTGGAAAATAACCTTCCCCCAAACACCTTCATGAAGGGTTATCTACAAGAATGTTTTAAAGGTTATCTACAAGAACGTATTTACTAGGTATTCACTGTCCAATTCTTCTGAATCATTGTCTTCCTGAACCAGGTGTCTTGCAAAAATAGATGACTTCATAAAATACAGGGCAAAAGTCTGATTTTGTGTTTTCTGTGGTGCAATAAAACGTAAAAGCAGAGAGTATTTTTAGCTCTTTCCAGCCTAAAAGGATGCGACTCAAGGATCTTCTCTAAGTCTGATTTTCCATGCATTGATCAAAACTGACCAAGGTTATAAAAGAAGGAAAGTCATTTCCTGACCAGAGAGCCTCCAACGTCAGTGGAGAGTACATTCCACGTAGCCTACCATTAGCAGTGGTCTGATCCTGACTTCCATGGCTGAACTCTCTTCTGACCTTCCTCCTGGTCCCAACAAAGCAAGGAGGCAAAGGGGAGGTGCCCTGGCCACAAAAAAGACAAAATGGCGCCAGGCCAGATGTTCACAGGGACACTGTCCTAGACAAGTATGGCTCAGAAAGCACCTTACACCACATTCAATCTTTGCATACTGCTCAAACACCAGCTGTCTCAGGATTTTCTCAATAAAGCTTCCAAAAAGGCATAGCTGATGCAGCCAATAGCTAATTAATTTGGAACAACTCAGAAATAGGTGCTTATTTCCCCTCAAGGTTTACTTATTAAACGTTAATCTGGAAAGAGCAGAAGAAAATATTATTTGCAAATATCAGCAGTTTGAGGCCCATCCACATTTACGTAAGGACTATGCATTTGGTAAAGCTTACATTTAGAAAGGCCTGGTGCCAAAATAAATAAACCCTCAGAAAAGTTTACATGTCTTAATATTTGTGATAATGTTGGCAGCAATTGTTTGCTTTCTCTACAGGGTCAACTTGAAAAATGACAAAATCATAAATTTTAATGTCATAAATCACACCTTCATGTAAGTTGGAATGAGGTCACCATCAACACAGAAAGAGATATCAAAGGAAGCAACTGCTTTCCCCACTTTTGAAATGGGCTAAGCATGTATGGGAAACCGTGGTGGCGTAGAGGTTAAGAGCTATGGCTGCTAACCAAAAGGTCTAATCTACCAGGTGCTCCTTGGAAACCCTATGGGGCAGTTCCACCCTGTCCTGTAGGGTTACTATGAGTCGGAATCGACTCGATGGCAACGGGAAGCATGGATAACTGTACTTACCCAAGCTATTCCCAAAGAGAATAATAAAAATAGTTCTCATTTTGTATTTCAAATTCTGCAGGAATTTTTTTTTTTTTCCTTCAAAGATGGAGAAAATATCCTTCCTTACAGATGGGAAAAACAGAACCCCAAAATCAAGTTAGGCAAGAATTTTTAGTGATGTATCACAGGAAGGTTCCTGAATCCTATCTTCTATTCCACTATTCTTGAAATGCATCTCGGTTTCAGCAAAAAATATGACTGAACAGATGTTTCAATTTAAAATACATTTAATATGTATTTACTGTCCAGTTCTTGTGAATCACGTCTTCCAGATTATTAGCAATATTAGATTAACCTACAAAATCTTGGTGCTGTGCATGCTGGTCACACACACACAACTGATAAACTAGAGCAATCTACATCCAGCTAGGTTTGCACCATCACCTGATTTCATAAGAAGCTGATTTTACTGGAGAAGCGGGATCATTGTTTTAAATATTTAAAAGTGAGTGAACACCTCCCAGTTGAGATGAACTTCATACAAAACAAGGGCAAAGACTAAAACATTAACAAGTGACAAATTCAGAACCTGTAGGAGTCCAATGTTTGGAACTGAATCTGTTCCTCCACCATCTCATCTAAGCACAAGAACTGTGGTACTATACCAATGTCGATACAAACATCCTAAGGAGGCAGTATTCTTACAGGGTCAAGAACTGACAGGACTGTAAAGTGCTGCATACAATGCAGAAGAAACGATGTAACCAACTCAACAGTAAAGAGCTACCCCTCCCAGTGATGGTGATCCATGTGGGCTGCCTGGTTCTGTTTGGCTCACCCAGAATCTCCTAGAACCAACCTGGCTAAGAGAGCTCAGGCAAAGACGAAGTTTAGGGCTCTGGCCCACAGCCAAACTCTGGCCTGCTTGAGGATAACATCCGTAGCCTCAACTGTGCCAAGCAAGCACAAATCACACTTTGAAGTAATAATCTTGAGATTCTTTGAAAATACTCTGAACTCAGACTTTTCCCTAACTCACAATGACTTCTTCCAACACTGAAAGCACATGAGCAAGCTTGTACTTCAATGCATCCATTCAGATGAGGGCTAGGGATACACGGAGAATCAAAACCTCTCCATAGATAAAGTCTTCAAAGCCATCCGTGCAAACAACATCTTCTTAGAAGACTTTAAAAATATTAATTAACCAAATAATAATACAAACACAGACAATAATTTCACATGTAAAGTGTGGTAGGGGTAGTTAGGTATAACCGTGTACCCCAAAAAACAAACAAAATAAGGCTTCCCCTGTAGGTAATTTAAATGCCAAAACTATTGGTTCTTTTCACTTGGGAGAGATACACTACACCTTTGGCAATGTTTTGTTTTTAAACCATTATATTTAATAAATTATTTCCCAAAGGTTAATTTCTATTTTCACAAAACATCTGAGTCACTAGAGATGAAAAATATTTTATCTGAAGATACACCACACCTCCCAAGCACCCCTAATTGACATCCCAAGATGCTGGCTTCTCTACAATGAGAGAGAACTCAGGGACTGGGACCCTCTGATTACTTACTTGTTAAAAAAAGGTTCAATGAGTTTGGATCTGGCAGACACGTGAATTTTTGGAGGACTGAGAAAAGAACCTAATGAAGAAAAGAAGCAGGGGATTATACACATTCATGCAGACAACGCCTGAAAGTTCAGGCAAAAATATACTCACATCTGGTGGTAGAATAATTTGGAAAAGGATAGCGGTAATGGTTGTACAGCACAATGAATGCAATCAATGTCACTGAATTAAACAATTCAAAACTGTTGAATTGGCAAATGTTTTCTTATACAGTGAAACCTGTGAGAGCTGGAACTCCACTGGACTGCCTTGGTTTTTTTCCCCAAGTCTCGCAAGTTTTCCACCTTTGACAGGGTACAGTCTTACCACTTTTCTATAGCTCTCTATTTAATGCAAAATACTTGAGCTTCCCTTCTCTGACAGGTTTCCGCCTTACACAGGTTTCAGCTTTCGCAGGTTTTACTGTATCTATTTTTACCATAATAAAAAAAAATGTAAAAAAAATTAAACATATATTTAAATGAACAGAATGGCTCAGCAAAGGTACTCGTAGGGGCCAAGTACCATACCACAGGGAAGTATCAAGTGGATCCTCCTTGTGTTTCCCAACCTCCAATCTCCTCCGAATCTAATCTCAAAACCCTCCTACTTCTAACTGGGTGAGTGGGTCCCAGGGAAACCGCAGACAGGTAAGAGCCATCCCAAACCACTGTGTATCTGGCACAGACGTGTACAGTAAGTACCTAGGTAGTTTGCCATGGAGACGAAACACAGTCCAGTGATATATGCATCATAGCCTGCTTCGTGAAGCTGCTCAGAAGCTGTGTCGTAACTTGGAAAACCTTCTGCACTTTCTAAAGGAAAAGAAGAAAAAAAGTTTTCCCAAGGACATCACAAAACCCGAGGACTGGTATTCACCTTGCCTTGCCAAATCCAAACTGAATTAGTATGTGCTACAGGAATATCCTAAATAAGCAGGGAGGAAAAAAGCTATCTGTTTATTAACTCTCTTTCCAAACAAGATTATACATTATGAGATACTCCAAAAGAAACCAAACCCATTGCCACTGAGTCAATTCCAACTCACAGCAACCCTACAGGACAGAGTAGAACTGCCTCACAGAGCTTCCAAGGCTGTAATCCTTACAGAAGCAGACTGCCACATCTTTCTCCAGCAGTGCAGTTGGTGAGTTTAAACTGCTGACCTTCCAGTTAGCAGCCGAGTGCTTAACCACTGGGCCACTAGGCTCCTTTATGATAATAAAGTCACTGAAAATGAGGCCTTGGTACAGACTAGAGAAACGCTCAGTTCCATTATCAAAGACTGAGTCGAAGGCCTCCTCGTCTCACATTGGTGGGTGCTACTTAGGATCACGCATAACTTGTTCTGTGACACTTAGTTCTCTTCTGACTGCTTTCCGAGATCATAAGAAGGAGCGTCTTCCCTTAAAGATAACGGTAACGTTACTGTTATAAAAACTCAAGAAATGGTTTAAACACAGAAGAAAACATTCTTTTCTGGTTACGAGGGTGGGGAGGGAGAGAGATGGGTATTCACCAACTAGACCGTAGATAAGGGTTATCTTACGTGAAGGGAAGGACAACACACGATACCAGGGAAGTCAGCACTACTGGACTAAACCAAAAGCTAAGAAGTTTCCTGAATACAACCAAACACCTCAAGGGACAGAGTAGTAGGGGTGGGGGTCTGGGGACCATGGTTTCAGGGGACATCTAGGTCAACTGGCATAACAAAGTTTATTAAGAAAATGTTCTGCATCCCACTTTGGT